CCAAAAAGTAAAACCAATGAATTTTTTTTTTTTTCAAAAACCCTTTATTCATTCTTCCAAATTTATTTGATCGCCTTCAAAGTAATCCCCTCCGGACACAATGCATTCCTGCCAACTTTTTTTTTCCAATCCTCCTTCCCTTTTTCAGATCCTCAACTTTTTCTCCAATCCTTATATCTTCTACTTAGTAGAAGAGAAATTGAGGTGACCACAACCGTCTGTTTAAAGCAAATACACTCATGTCCATAAATTAAGGATAATTCAAAATCACACAGAAATTGAACTCTAAAATAAAAATTTCACCTGTAGAATTATCTCACACATCTTGAAGAAGAATATGCAAATTACAGGAAATCACCAGATGGCGCGGATAGTACGTCACAATGACGAGAGTGTAAAAGAGGGGTATATAAGGAATGGTGGCAAAGAAGTAAAATTGTTCACAAGCGCTTTAAAAGCCTTTCAGTGCAATAACCACATAGTTATGGCATAAAGGAAGCATTTGGATGATTTTTTACGTGGTAGAATTATCGGACGACTGGAATGTGGACGTACCCAGCTGGAAGTATCCGAGGAACTTGGAATCGCCCAACGTGTCATCGCCAGGCTTTGGCAACGATTCCAAGATGATGGTAATGTGAGTAGATGTTACAGCACAGGTCACCCCCGAGTTACAACGCCGAATGAGGATCGGTATTTAGCAGTTACTGCCAAAAGAAACAGACGGAGCACAGCATCAGACCTGTCTCGTCAGCTCTCTTCAGCTACCGGTACGACAGTTTCAAGGCAGACCGTGTACAGACGCTTAGGGCACATTGGTCTATATGCTCGTAGGCCTGTCAGATGTGTTCAACTTACCGCAACTCACTGTCGCCTGCGATTAACCTGGAGTAGAGAGCAGGCATTGTGGACACCGCAACAGTGGTCTTGTGTGATGTTTTCCGACGAGTTCAGGTTTAGTTTGTAGTCTGATTCTGCGCCGGACTTTCATATGGAGAGAGCCAGATACCCGTTACCACCAAGAGAACACCATTGAACGACACCGTTACGGTGGTGCAGGATGGCTCGTTTGGGGAGGAATTATTCTTGGTTCCAGAACTGACCTGCATGTTCAGAGTGTAACGATGACAGGCCACATCTATCAGGATGTCATTCTGGAACAACATGTATGTTTGTTTCGGGGCGCCATGGGTGCTGAATTTCTGTTTATGGATGACAACGCCCGTCCTCACCGTGCAAACATTGTAGACGAATGCCTTCAATTGGAGGATATCACCCGTATGGATTGGCCAGCATACTCACCGGATTTGAATCCAATAGAGCATGTGTGGGATATGCTTGGCCGACGAATTGCAGCCCGTCAACCCCCTCCCACCTGTCAACCGGAACTTCGGAGGGCATTGCTTGATGAGTGGTGTAATATTCTCCAATATTCCCTAGATCAGATTGAAAATTTGATACTCAACATGCCTAGGCGTTGTAAGGCCTGTATTGTATCGTCCGGGAGACATACTCCATATTAACCATCATACTAACCATATTATACTGTTTTTTGTAAATAGGTTCTTTTTTGGAATTTGCTCCAGGGAGTAAAAATCGAAATTTTTATTAATTATGTCAAACATATAGCATCTTTTTGCTCTTTACCTTTTGTTTAATAAATAGACTTTACAAATAAGTCAAATTTGTTTTTGCTTCTGTCTCTTTCTTTGCCTGAACTTCATTTTCCTTAATTTATGGACATGAGTGTATTATGCATTAAATCCAGAAGAAAATATCTCTATTGTCTGTTAAGTAGAACTTATAGTGTGTTTTATATGTGAATTTATAAAGTGATATTTTAACTTCCTGTTTTGTGTTAATGGCCAATGAACTCTCATAAATAGCAATTTCTTTCTGGGTTCTATGAAAAAAAATCCATGCACTTTTTCTACGAGACAAGCAGACCGATTCCTCAAACATCGATATTATTACACCAGGTAAAAAGTACTACTGTGCCCAAAAAGTAAGACCAATTATTTTTTTCAAAAACTTCTTTCAAATTTATTTCATCGCCTTCAAAGTAATCCCCCTCCGGACACAATGCACTTATGCCAACTTTTTTTCCAATCCTCAATTCATGCTAAAAGTCATCGGCAGGGATGGCCTTCAATGTGAGCGGCGATTCACTTTGAATCTCTTCAATCGACTCAAAACGGTGTCCCCGGAGTGGTCTTTTGAGCCAGAAGTCGCACGGTGTGAATACAGTGATTGTGGAACGATATGGGTTTCATATTTGGCGAAAACGTCACGAAAAATCAATGCAGTGTGAACTGGCACAATTAGTTTTTCGATACCCATCAAGATTTGACGCGTTTGAGGCCCAAAACTTCTTTAAAATGGAATTTTGTAATTCCAACATCATCAGCAAGGTCTCTAATTGTAAATCGACGGGTTGCGAGCGCCAAATCTTCCTGAGCTTCGTCAGTTGAGGTGGATGGTCGACCAGAGGACTCTTCGTCTTCAACGCGTCCTCCGCATTCTTTGAACTGTTTAACTTTGAACTAGTAAGCATTTCTTTCCGATATAGGAATGCTCACCAAATGCCTTCTGCAACATTCTATACGTTTCCGCAAACAAAATTGAATGCAAGTTCTTTGCTCAATTCATTCAGGCATTTCAAAAATCGCCGGAATCAGTTTTTAGCATCTTACAAAGCCAAGCGTAACTGAAACACTAATGACTATTTTGACAAGGACAGCCCCAGCAACCTAAAAGAAGAAAAAAATTGAAATTCCATAAGCCCCGGGAATTTTAAATTGAAAATTGGTCTTACTTTTAGACACAGTAGTACATTCTTTAAAGTAAATTAATAAAAAGCTTTTATTCCTCACTGCAATTAACTGGATATCAAATACAACGAAACGACAAAGTCAACTTTTATTTTAATTCATGTAATGGGCAATTATAATTAGTGATTTGTTCTGTTATTCTACCTCTTATCTGATTAATTTATCCAAATAAATTTTGTTAGTATATCTGTCTTTGACATCAGAATATACAGACTATTTTAGATGGAAATACAGCATCATTAATTGAGTCATTTCATCTCCGGGAAATAGCTACTCAGACTCAATTAATTTTAAAGCAATCTGATACTCACAAAGGTTAAATGGTCAATGGTGATATTTAAGAGATGTGAGTGAAACCTGGAATATATTCTACAAAGATATCTAAAATTATATTTTCATATTTATCATTTAATAACTCAAAATAGTTATTCAATCTAATCTGTATGTGGGTACAATTTGTTAATACCCTTAACCAATGAAAGCACTAAATAAATAAATAAAATTAAACTTAATAACAAAAATTACTTACTAAATAGAAAGCTGCTTGGCATGAATTTTAGCAACATACTGTATTTGAATGAAACTTGCCCTTTTTTCTCGAATAACATTTGTGGTATGCATTCTTAATCCATTGAAAATTTATAATTGTTCTCTATCCTTTTCAAGTTTATTATTGAATAATCAGATCTAAATGTTGCATTATGTATTATACATTTAATTTCTTATTTCATAGAAATGCAAATATTTATAATGCATAAAAACTATCAGTATCCCAAAATTGCCTTTTTTTTCTGTTTTATTGTTTTTCATTATTATTATTTATTATAAATTGGTTGGATTATGCATTCTTATGTATTATAAATATGCCGAAATTTCTCCATTCTTTCTTATCAAAAAAACAGATAGTATAGTATTATAGATGCAGACAGTAAACAAATGCATTTTATTATTACAAGCAGCAGGATCTGTAAATAATTTTTAAGTATAAACAGGCAGGACTTATACATTATTTATTATAAACAAACCAGGACCTATACATTATCATGCATTAATAGAAATTCTCACTGTAATAAGCAGATATGGCGTATACATTCTTGTGTATCATAAACAAACAGGACGTACGTATTATTATGTATGACAAACATTTTATGTATTATAAACGACTGGATATATGCTGCTCTCCAGGTACAAAAGAAAGTCCTTTTTTTATTAAATTGTGGCTGGCGATGAAAAGCGGATATGTACACTCAAGAGCCAAAACAATATGACCGCCCCTACATTTTGCAATGAACTCGCCTGGATGACGTGGGAGGCACGTGATCAGGTGGAAGTGGTATTTAACTGGTATTAAGTGGTGGTATTAATCCATGCCAAGGCGGGTTGAAGCTGTGTTGCGCGCCAAAGGTGGGCCAACTCGTTATTGACAGGTGGTTATAAGGTTTTGACTCTTGAGTGTATATTTCGAGAATCCTAAGCGAAAAAAGATCATGGGTAACTCCAGACGAATCATCGACATCAACTGCAAGGCCAAATCGCTATGGACGGAAGACAATGTTCTGTGCTTGAAGGTATCTGTAGGGTGTGATCTATTATCAGCGCTAAAACTGTGCAAAACTGAACGCTATCGACAACAAATAATCTATTTGAAACCGAGTTTGCGTAAAAAATGACCACAATATCAAAGAAGGCAACACAAAGTGGTTTTGCATCCTCATAATGCACCATCACACAGGAAAAGTGGTCAAGGAAACGATTGAGGCGTTTAGTTGGGTAATGTTTTCACATGCGGGCTTTCTCACCAGACTTGGCTCCATCCGATTACCACTTATTTGCATCGGTGGGATACATACTATACTTGCTGTGAAGCGCTTCACTTCTTACGAAAATGATATAAGGCAGTGTTGTTGTTTCTTATCCCACTTGGCTGGCCAAGCCCACGAGCCCATACGTACTAGAAAGGAAGCAGCTTCTGTTGTGATGGAGCACCCGTAGGTAGAAGTCTGACTTTGGCTCCGTAACGCTCTTACAGTCATAGGAGACCGGCAACTACGGCTTAAAGTGGATTCCGAATCCCTACAAACATCCATGGCACCGCCGGGATTCGAACCCGAAACCTGTGGCACCGAGCTCTAGACACTCGGTCATTCAGGTCCCAAATGTGTGAATGTCAACGGCACGCGGTGTTCCCAGGTGCTCACCCACCCAAGTACTGACCACGGAGATCTAACGAGAACCGGTATATTCAGCATGGTATGGCCGTTGGCTCTTAAAGCAGTAGTTATAATAAGTATCCGTAAGACTTTATCAAACGTTTTTGTTATTTTCCATTGCATTTTATGTAAATTAAATTGTGAAAAGCATTTTTCTATTATGTATTAAATATGTTATTCTATTGAAGGAGCCGCGCCCTATCCCACCATCCCTCCGCAAAATCTCTTCAAACTTCTGAAGGACGGGTACAGGATGCCAAAGCCGGAAAACTGCTCGGATGAGTTGTAAGTATTAAATTGTGAACAATTTCTAAGAATCCAAAAATGAAACTTACATGGTTATTGTTATTTTTTTGACTTTCAAAGCAAAAAAAAAAAACTGTGTATAAATAAATAAACAATTTTTAATGGCAGTTTTAGACATTATAATTTAAAAATTAAAATTTTAATTGATTAAATTTTTTTTTTAGAAATAATAATATTAAAATTAAAATTATTAAAATTGGTGTAACTTCTAATTTGTTTAACTTTAAATTAAACCAGGAAATCATATAATCAAAATTTCTTTTAAATCAGTTTGCAATGATATGGATGTGGTTTTTGAGTCTGCCTTGTTTTAAATGCTTGTTTATTGTATGTACACACAAATTTCTGTTGTTGTCGTTGTTGTTTATCCCACTTGGTAGACATCTAGACACAGCCCACGAACCCGTATGGCCTCATGGTTGAGGGGAAAGGGGAGCAGCTTCTGCTGTGATGGAACACCCTTAGGTAGAAGTCTCACTTTGCTCTGTGACACTCTTACAGTCCCATGAAATCGGGACTTACGGTTTAAAGTGGATTCCGAAAGCCTCTACAAACTTCCATGGCATCGCCGAGACTCGAACCCGAAACCTGTGGCACCAGAGCGCTAGACACTCGATCTCTCAATTATGGGCCTGATATCAAAAATACTATCTCCTTTTCTAAGTAGCTAAAGTCTTTTACAAGAATGATATCATTCTATTGCAGATAGCAGTTAGTGGATTGAGTTAGAAGGATGAAATTCACCTTCTCAAATGCAGCATCACTAATCAATAATGCAGATAAGCATAGATTCAAAACACATTATATTCAATTGAATAACTTATTTTTGCTATCTGTTTAAATTCGTACCAATCTATATTCCACTTTAAAAAATGCCATCATATATTTATCGTATCATCATATTTTATTAAATGTATAAAATGCCACCATATTTAATATTTTAATATGGAGAGCTGATGGCGCTGGTACCACAAGTTTCGAATTCAAATCCCGCGGCTCCATGGATGTTTAGCTGATTGAATCCATTTAAACCGTAGGTCCTAGTGTAATAGGATCGTAGAGGCGGTGCCTTCAAGCTACACGTGCCCCCTGGGTAAAGTGCTAAATGAGTAACAGCGGTGCAGCCCTTGTTTATGGCATAAAGATAGTCAAAATATCTGCAAGATGCAATAGGAAAAAAAAAACCGTTAACATGTCTTTAGCCATTCAGAAATGGATAAATAATGGTGATTTCTGTACTATGAACAATGGTGAAAAATAAATATAACTCATTATAAAATTTAGATTTCTTAATGTTATTTATTAATGTGTTAAAAATTAACATTCGATTAATAAATTTGTTCGATAGAAATAAATCAACTTAAATCTGTATGGTTATTGCAACCTACTGATCTATAGTCTTTGTGACTGTGATTAATTTAGTGGAGACTCAGAATTGATTTCGTGATTCAGCTAGTCTAGACTTATTGTCACTGTTATACCCCTACATCTAGCCTTTTTTTTTGGGACGATGTAAACTTTGGCTGTTATTGCATTCAGTGCTGAAATATTTTTGCACTTAGCTGAAGAAAAATAGAATTTATTTCTATTTTTGTACAATGCAATTGTAATTAAACGAAGCGTAACAAATGAGGCTGCTTAACATCACTTGAAATTTTAATATACTAGGAAAGTGGATAAATTTCTGTTATTTAAGTTTAAAAGTATATTACTTTTATTGCAGCATCGAATATCGTAACAAGCATAGTATATAAAGTTGATTGACAAATGTTAATATTAATGTAATATTTGTACAAATGTAATGCTGCAATAACAAATGCAAATGTTTATAAATTAATTCTTTATCAAAGAGTTTATTTAGGTTTTTTTTATAATATCAAAATTTTATTTACATAAGTTTTCTTACTGATAATTTATTTGTCTGAAATGAGTATTTTGTTTTGTTTAGACATTTTAATATCTCAATGAAAGAATTCATTTAGATATCCTATATTTGTCGTATTTTAATCTCACGAAATAGTGAGCCATAGTTAGCTCAATGCTTTTATATATTCACAGATATAAACATAATTCGATACAATGTTATGTATTATCATGCGATGTAATATTATTATGTATTATTATGCAATATATTATTAATGTCATACTTGTACAAATGTAATGTTGCAATAACAAATGTAAATGTTTATAAATTAATTTTTATTAAAGAGTTTATTTAGGTTTTTAATAATATGAAAGATTTATTTACATAATTCACTTAATAATACACATTTATTTGTCTGAAACAAGTATTTTTTTTTTTTGCAGACATTTTAACATCTCAATCAAAAGATTCTTTTAGAGATCCTATATTTGACATAATGCAATCTCACGAAATATTTAACTATAGGTAGAACAACGCTTTTATATATTCAGATGTGAACATAATGCAATATGCAGAAACTGTGAGTTTCATGTTTGATGGAATATAATCTATGTGAATCTTAAGCCACAACCAGACCAACCAAATAGGTGCAATTTGGGCAAAAATGATTTATTATAATTTTTCACTTCAATGATTCAACAAAAGAATCTTTTATAATTCCCATAAACTTGTCTTAATACGTATAATTGAACACCATGATATTAACTTATACTTATGTGCATGTTAAACATTGTAAATGGATTAATTTATAAAATTGAAAAGAAGTGCCTATACATTTTTTAATAATTCTTTTGAATTTAAATGAAACTTATCATGAGTTAGAACAAAAAATCAGTATATGCATGTTTTAGAAATATTTTAATATGTTATTTTCGAATGCCTCACATTTATCTATTTAATTCTCTACAAGCAATGCTGATATGTAGAAGATTCATCTTTATCCAGGACATAAGACGAAGAGATTTTCTACGGCATTACATTTACATTTTACAATCTCAATTTTGAACAGGAATACCAGAACATTTCGAATCTTCCCTTCATCCTTGACAGCTAAGGTCATCCAGTCTCTACATATCATGCCCGTTGCTGGCATAGGCACAGACAGCTTTTAGTTCGGTATCGCTTATCAAACTCATAAATTGTGCTTGGTGCAAAACTCCTATTAACTATCAGTCAGATAGCACCTGTCCCCGATACTTAAATATAAAATATTGAATAATAACAAGAGCTATTCAGCACATAGAAGGAATCTCATAAATTAAATCACACATTGATTCTTATATATGACGTCACACATTGAATGGCATATAAGAATTTATATTGCCACACATGAGTACATATGATGTCACAGATCGAAAGGCATTGATATGGCATGCATATGGAATGGCATCTCATATATTGGCACACATGAGTACATATGACGTCACATCGAATGGCATATAGAATCTCATATAATGGCACACATTACATATGATGTCACAGATCGAATGGCATATAGGATATATTGGCACACATTGCATATGACATCTCATATCGAATGGCATATATGAATCTCATATGGCATATAGTACATATGACGTCACATATGGCATTAGGCATAACATGAGTACATATGATGTCACAGATCGAAAGGCATATAGGATATATTGGCACACATTGCATATGACATCTCATATCGAATGGCATATAGGAATCTCATATATTGGCACACATGAGTACATATGACGTCACACATCGAATGGCATATAGGAATCTCATATAATGGCACACATGAGTACATATGATGTCACAGATCGAATGGCATATAGGATATATTGGCACACATTACATATGACATCACATATCGAATGGCATATAAGAATCTCATATATTGGCACACATGAGTACATATGACGACACATGGAGTCTGATACAAGAATCTCAAATACTGGCACACATGAATGAATCTTTATTAATTTTAATAATGATTCATTTGAATCTTACCATTAAATTACAAATCTAAGCAAATTTACAAATCATTTCAGGATCGAAAACATTGTAGTGGTCTTTATGCCACCCCTTATTATTTCAGTTGGATGAAATATGCATCACTTTACCATTATTGATAGTTCTCTAAATATGTTTTCAGTTTTATGCACACAAACAGAATTCAATCTTCAAAGACAGTTTACTTATCATTTCAAACAAACATTTACAAGAAAATTCATTCTTGAAATATTCTACAAGAACTCATTCTAAAATCCCATTTTTAAATTTAGATTATGAAATATATTGCTATTTAATTATTTATTCAATTCCTTCTATTAGCTCACACTCTCCCTATATATATCTTGTTCAAATTTTCAATCGTTCATAAATCGTTTTTATTCATTCACTCAAGTTTAAAAATGTATTTGAACTTGTAGTGGATGACACTGGATGTTAATACAGTTTTTTCAAATATTGATTCATGAATTAAATTAAATTAATTAATTTTAGATTTTTTTTAGATTTAAGTTGCATATATCTACCCATAGATGGCGCCAGATAAACTTAAAAAAATGAATGAAAATTATTTATAAAGGACTTTCTGCAATAGAGTGAAAAAAAGTAGGAATCGACTTTAAAAATTTCTTTTATCTTACTTGTTTTTATTTTAGGTTCTATTTAATGAGGCAGTGCTGGAGACCCTTACCTCGTGAGAGACCATCCTTCAAATTCCTTGTCAGCAAACTAGATATGATGCTGCAAGACACCGTGGTAAGATAAACACTCATTGCAATATTTGATAACATTATTTGCATAAAGTTAAATACTACATAACTTATGTAGACGATGATCT